AGATAATCCATTCTTTACTCTGTAAGAACTTCTGCGAGCTGTGTCAATACAGCTGTGATTGCCAATCATAATACACATAAGAACAGCACGTTAGTCACTAAATTATAAATGTTTACTGCTGCGCTTATATGTACGTGACTCGATACAATGTTCGAACATTGTTCAGAAATCGATTGTAACAGCCAGTGTATTAGAATAGATATACTTTAGATTACTTTAGAATAATTCTTTGAGAAAATATTGCCAAATAATGGCATTCAAAAAAGAAATGGAGTATTATTGTGATTATAAAAAGCAAGTGATAGTATGAATTCTTAACTCTTAATACACGCGATTGGGTCATTCATATCTTTGCACATTTCTTTTCTTTTAAATATTAGAAATACTTACTACTATTTTTTGTATACTTGTGAAAGTAATGAAAATTAACCCGAGATACGAAATTACTCATCGTATAGTAAAGAACTGAAAAATCATCATATACACTAAGAATTAATTATGACGCATGAATTGAACTTTATAGCGGGGATTCCAATGTTTCGTAGATTATTAAAGTATACGTCACAGTCTACTTAGGGTAGACCTCGACAAAGTAAGTAGCTTTATTATAGCCATCTTCTTCCTCGCCTTCTTATGCCGCTTTTATAATGATATTCCATTTTGTTAACGTCGGACGCAAAGTCGGTAGCCATGATCCGTTTCCACGCACCGGTGCACCCGGCTTTACCGCCACGTCGTTGTCGTCATTCTGGAAATCCAAGAACAAAAGAAAGATGAGTCGGATCGCGTGTGAACTGCTACGATCTCCTCATTGGAAATCGATATATCATAAAATATTGTAATGAGTAAAAATATATACGAAATAAATATATAATTTTTTTGATCATCCAGACGTTAATTAAATCCAAACGGAAAAGATTATGTTGCGAGTGACGAGTTATACGGTAATGAGTTACAAGAAGTTGTGAGCCACGCAACGTGAAAATTACGTAAATGTGTGAGACTTTACCTTGTCACTCACAATAACGTGAATCGATAAATTTCGAGAGAAGGTTCAAGATAATGCAGCAGGATTTACATATGTAATAAACTTCAGCAACTTGAATTGTTTACCCGTCACAAATTGGAATTGAAATATAGAGACGTCCGATGCGCAGAAACTACTCGGTTGCGACGATACATGAATATGTATTAATGAATTTTACTATTCATTTTATAATTCACGTCAGAACGAAGGTTCAAACGGATACTTGACTATCCGTGATAAGATAATTAAATTAAAAATTCAAGATCACTATTTTTAAAAATAAAAAATAAAAATAAACAATCTATACAGAGTCACCAAGAGTCATAGACTGATGAAGGTGCCAATGATTAAATTCTATACTATTAATCGATTGTATGTAATCTTCTTTATTTTGAATATTTCGGCTCTCTTTGGAATCCTCTTCAGCAATACATATTTCAAATCCTAATTCGTTGAACTTTCCGTCAAATGTGAGTCACTAACAGGTTCCCAACTGAAGTGGATCCTGATTTGAAATATATAAAATTAAAATTGAGTCAATAAGAAAAAAACCATATCCTAGCAACTCCTCAAACGAGAAGCTTTGGAAATTTATATTAACTAATAAATTATTGAAACAATTATCTTAAAATTATTGAAACAATTATCTTAATTTTATACATATTAACGATTTATAAATCTTCTTCTCCGGATAGCCAGAAGCGTTTAACGAACAGTTTGTTTACTTGAAAAAGAACATATCGAAAAACAAAACAATTAAATCATATCTAACATTGCAGTATTCCTGATATAACCGTAAAGTCATAAATTAGATGTTTACAAGACGTGAAAAATACAAATTCTTTACGAAATAATTTAATTGATCAATTCATTTTGCATCGTCGTATAGGTGTGATGTAATTCTTCAGTGTCAAATCGTTCAAATTCAAATAATTTTTTGCATATGAGAATATGCACTTTTTCAGAGATTAGTCGTTTATTTAAAGATCTCTCATCTAGAATTCTCCCAATCAAAATCATGATATTTTTAATTGGCATGTAATACACAGTCTTGATTTTAATGAATATGAGATTATCGATAATTATGATTTTCATACATAATGATTCAGATAATCATGCAAATTGATGACTCGATAGAAAAGCGATTGTTCGACACTCCAAATTCGAATGTTTTCACATAAAGCAAACATTCACGATCAATTTACTATTGATTCTCTTTTGAACTGGCAATAACTTAAAATCAAGCTCTGATCCGCATATACTTGCTATCAATTAAAGCGAGTATTCTTCGTGGTTAATGACGTGTATCCCAGAAATATCGAACCTTTGCCATTTCGCTTCATTGTTACAATGTGCCTTTCATCTTTCAATTCGAGCTCGTAAGATTCGAATGCCCTCACGAACCTTCCAAATGTTCAAGGTTTTCTTCTGAGGTCATTACGATTTTTCGTTTCCGAAATCTGAGTCCGAGATCACAGAATATGATTCGAACTACAATGATTTGCAATGAGATCGTAATCGTAGAAGGACAAAAAACAAGCTGAAAACAATTCTCCTCCCTATCATCTATCCATTCTCTTTTGGAGATATTAATTATCCATGAGAGTCTGCAGAGTTTTTGCATGTCATTATGTTGAGCAATATTAAGTGAAATAGAAAAGTGGTTAAAGTGGTTAACACAAATAATAGAGAAAAAAGCCATTTTCGATCAAAGCGTGTCTTGCTTAATAATAATCGTATGTGAATATATAAATACAAATACAATTATCGGTTCTAAGATTGCGCGGCGGTTCAAGTTGTCAGACTTGAAATACAATCATTATGCATCAAAATAAATTGATACAAATTTATTATATTGATTAAAGGAAGGATTTTCTATTGATTGTAGGAAAACATTATCACAATAGAAAATATAATTATAAGAAAACAAATTGTATGAAATATGTGATATTCTTTTAAATAGACTCCTTATTTTTATGACAAATTATCAACGAAATTTCTTTTCATGCAAGTTTCGTAGCCGCCACATGTGAATGATACGCGTTCGAGAGAACACGTAAAGTTGCATTATTTTGCATTTTTACAGATTAGAGTACCATTAAAGATAAACTTTTCGGCCAGACCGAAAGATGTGGTTGTGTCGATTGCAAAGAAACATTTAAGCTGTGGACTGAAAGGCCATCCACCAATTCTCGCTGGGGATTTTCCGCACGAGGTCAAACTAGAGGAATCTACTTGGGTAATTGAAGATGGAAAAATATTGCTAATTAATCTAGAAAAGGTGAGTCATGGACACAATAGGTGCAATTGCACCCGCGATAACGCGCTTTTCGTGGCCTCGCCGGCCTTACCGCAACATTTCTAAGATTGTCCAGCCGCAAATGAAGATTTAAGATATGTGTGACCGATTAACATTTCTTTCGCATCTGGTTATATAAACATTTTGTGATTCTGCTTCGTAATTTTTATCCAAAACTTTATGAAACATAAAACAGTATATTATAAAAGATCCATGATACATATATTATATTAAAATTATATTAAAATAATCTAAAT